ACAACGAAATTGTGGAGAACTAATGATGCAGTTCAAATGATGTAAACTCTGAGTGAAATTGATACTTTCCGACTATAATCATGATCTCGAATGAGAATAGTAATAAAGAAAGTGATATGAAACAAGAAGAACCTATTTTTTTTCAATCCAAGACAACAAGCCCCGCAATTAAATAGCTGAAAGTACAATCGTTCCGCTTGTCGGACGTTCTCCAATTGAAAATCTTGTTCCAAAGGCAAGATAGCGAGCTTTATTTACCGAGTGTGATGCGCCAGATAGCTCCCCGCCTTGTCCACTTCTCCAGTCCTCGACCATTTCACTCTCTCTCTTTTTTTTACCCCCTCTGTTTATTCCACTTCTTCTGCACCTTCCTTCCTCCCATTATTTTTACGGTTTTTTCTCTCCCTTCTTTTTTACATCGGCCCTTCCTCCCTCTCCCCCCCCCCTCCACCCAAACCACCGCCTTCATCTTTCTCCACGACTGAAGTAAACAAGGGAGGGAATTGGACATTTCTAAGAGGATAAAGTTGCTTCCAGTTGAACGAGCCAATGAAAAAAGTAAGAAGATACAAAGAAGACCGTTTCATTAAGATGTTGTTCCTCACAAAGACCTCTCGTTGCAACTATATTTCCCGACAATTAGAGATACGATAGAACAACAAATGAAATGAAAAGAATATTTCTGTTCAGGAGCCAATTAAGACTGACGAAAGGGAAATATTTATAGTTGGATGTTGATAAATAAAATGGTTGAAATGGCGTTTCAGGAGTTGGAAATTTTTAGCTGGTATTTTTAATAACGCCAACAAGTTTTCCATGAAGGAAAGAACACCGAAATTATTGAAAGAGTATGAAAATATTTCGAACTTACTGGGAAAATTCTGGGATTTGTTCCTACTCTGTTGAAAATTTGCTGCTTAATTCTCCGATGGTTTATGCACTGCATTGAAAGTAAAATAGTGGGGGGAGAGGAGGAGATAAGAAGGGATGATTAAGCCAATCATGTGGTTCTAATTGATCAACTGGTCTTGATGTAGAACGTTATGAAAGGTGGAGAAATGATGTTCTTTTATAACATGTCTGTACGTATATGTGTGCCAAGAGTTCGGTTTTTTTTTCTCCTGAATCGAATTCCAGGATGTGGTTCATGACATTAACTTTTGCTTCCGAATGGAAGCATTGTATCCGTCCAATCGGAAATTACAATTTTTCGTGTCAGAATAACTAATTTGACTTCAGGAGTTCGACCGACTTCGATAACGAGATTGATCGCATCATCTGTTGTTGAAAAAAATTCATTTTGAAGCCAATATTCAGGGCGAAGTGTAAAATTTTACCATTGGGGCAATGTTGGCTGCCAACACGGAAAAAAATACCTGAATTGAGTATAAAACTCACTTGAATCAAGTATATTCTATTCTTGATTCGAGTATAAAATATACATGATTCAAATATATTTTATGTCGCGCCGTGCAATAAGTCGAGTTTTGAGCAGGCTGCGCGAAGCGATTTGACATAAAATATTATAGAGCACTCGGTAATAAATTTCGTTTTCAACGAATGTGTAGTTTACAGGCCGAGCCGAAGGCGCGGTCTGTATATACATTCGAACGAAATTTGTGCCCTTGTACTCTAATGTACTATTATTTTATTCTTTATTTTTATTTTATTTGAATCAAGTAAATTGTATACTGAATTGGGGGATAGGTATTTCAATTCGAAGATGATTCATTTGTATCAGGCCGGGTTGTAGCAAGCCCTCTTAAGTGTAATATAAGGGTCAGACACTAAGTGTCAGAATATAAGGGTCAAAACGTGGAGGTTAAGGATGTTCGACACCCTTTTAGCTAAAATTGATGTTGTTTTCATTTTTCTGGCAAATTATCGATGGGAGTGACGTGAAAAAATATAACGATTTTGTGGTTTGTCATTCTTTAATGGCTCACGAAGTTGCGTAGTGGTGCGATAATTTTCATGTGTTTTTGCTACAGTTTTGTGATTCTTTTCAAAAGTTTAGAGAAAACGCAGGAGAATGTTCGCACCACCTTAAAATTTCGTCAGTCATTAAATAATGACAAAACGCAAAAACGTTATATTTTTTCACGTCAATTCCATCATAAGTTTGCCAGAAAAATTAAAAAAACGTGAATTTTGGCAGAAAGGGTGTAGAACATCCTTAAGAAATGAGGGTCAGAATATTAGGGTCAAAACATTAGGGTCAAAATGTAAAAGTAAAAAAAGTGGGTGTCAGACAATGAGGGTCTAAATATAAGTCATATATTATGCTTTATCACCGTTTTTAGCTCTTATATGAACGTCATTGCCTGACACCCACTTTTTCTACTTTTATATTCTGGCCCTAATTTTTTGATCCAAATATTCTGACCCTCTTTTTTAACCCCAACATTCTGACCCTCATTCCTTCACCTTTACATTCAAGCCCTCGGTTTTTGACTCTAATATTCCGACCCTCCTTTTTTAATCTCCACTTTTTGACCCTTATATTCTCACACTTAGTGTTTGACCCTTATATTACACTTGAGAGCGCTTGGTACAACCCGAGCTGATGCGAAATAATCATCTTCGAATTGAAACATCCATCTTCCATTCGAGTATAAAGTATACTTTTAGTAGTATACGTTTAAGTATAAGTATACGTTTAGAGAAAACGCAGGAAAATGTTCGCACCACCTTCAATTTTCGTCAGTCATTAAATAATGACAAAACGCAAAAACGTTATATTTTTTCACGTCAATTCCATCATAAGTTTGCCAGAAAAATTAAAAAAACGTGAATTTTGGCAGAAAGGGTGTAGAACATCCTTAAGAAATGAGGGTCAGAATATTAGGGTCAAAACATTAGGGTCAGAATATAAAAGTAAAAAAAGTGGGTGTCAGACAATGAGGGTCTAAATATAAGTCATATATTATGCTTTATCACCGTTTTTAGCTCTTATATGAACGTCATTGCCTGACACCCACTTTTTCTACTTTTATATTCTGGCCCTAATTTTTTGATCCAAATATTCTGACCCTCTTTTTTAACCCCAACATTCTGACCCTCATTCCTTCACCTTTGCATTCAAGCCCTCGGTTTTTGACTCTAATATTCCGACCCTCCTTTTTTAATCTCCACTTTTTGACCCTTATATTCTCACACTTAGTGTTTGACCCTTATATTACACTTGAGAGCGCTTGGTACAACCCGAGCTGATGCGAAATAATCATCTTCGAATTGAAACATCCATCTTCCATTCGAGTATAAAGTATACTTTTAGTAGTATACGTTTAAGTATAAGTATACGTTTAGAGAAAACGCAGGAAAATGTTCGCACCACCTTCAATTTTCGTCAGTCATTAAATAATGACAAAACGCAAAAACGTTATATTTTTTCACGTCAATTCCATCATAAGTTTGCCAGAAAAATTAAAAAAACGTGAATTTTGGCAGAAAGGGTGTAGAACATCCTTAAGAATTGAGGGTCAGAATATTAGGGTCAAAACATTAGGGTCAGAATATAAAAGTAAAAAAAGTGGGTGTCAGACAATGAGGGTCTAAATATAAGTCATATATTATGCTTTATCACCGTTTTTAGCTCTTATATGAACGTCATTGCCTGACACCCACTTTTTCTACTTTTATATTCTGGCCCTAATTTTTTGATCCAAATATTCTGACCCTCTTTTTTAACCCCAACATTCTGACCCTCATTCCTTCACCTTTACATTCAAGCCCTCGGTTTTTGACTCTAATATTCCGACCCTCCTTTTTTAATCCCCACTTTTTGACCCTTATATTCTCACACTTAGTGTTTGACCCTTATATTACACTTGAGAGCGCTTGGTACAACCCGAGCTGATGCGAAATAATCATCTTCGAATTGAAACATCCATCTTCCATTCGAGTATAAAGTATACTTGAATCAAGTATATTTTATTGTCTTGATTCTGAGAGAATAACTTGTTAAACAATGTTAAATTGAATGAATCATTTAATTCAATTCAAAATACACCGTAATAAAAATTTCATTCACAAGCAAATGGTTAATTCATTACCGAAAATATGTTGACTATGTTTTGACGAAAGCAATTTCCGACTTGTTTCATTTCGTCCTAATAGAATAGTTCCATGGATTCTTTGATGAAACGAGGGCGAAGGTGAACGTTTGCCTCGGCTCCGTGCGCTTGAGAAACGAGATACTGGGGTGAGGTTGGGGCTTTCGCAGGACTCCAAGACGAAGCGTTGTACATCCCACCATCAGTCTAACCCTCCACTTGCTCCAAAAAGAGACCTGTCCCCCTCGTCTCATCTACCCCTGTTGTTCTCCACCCTCGAAAGCCACAAGCAGATCCACAGGAGATGCGAGATAAGCGTCGATCTTGTACATCTAAAGAGGACATTTATTTTTTCATCTCAGAATAAACAACCCTCCCCATAAAAGCAAGCCCTTTGGAAGCGTCATCCTCACCCAGCGGATGTATAATAACTTCCGCTTCCCCTTTACCCCGCATCTTTGTTTTTTTTCATTGCCTCACCCCTTCTTAAAAAAAAACTCGTTCATGCGAGACTTTACGGCACTTTCACGTCGAGTTTGTCACTATTTCTTCCTTTCGCTTCTCTTCTCTCACTTCTATTGGTTTTTTTTTCCCTAGAGTTTTGGAGTGTAGCACGACAGTGGAGAGGGTTATTGAGTGCACGAAATGTGGGTTTGAACGCGTGGAGAAGGGTGGATGACCCGGTTTTTCTTCACCAAGAGGCAGGGATGTTTGCCATGAACATTGAATGCCCACTGTTCTGTAATTTAAAGCACGATTCTATCGATAGAATTACGGAAACACTAGATCTTTAAGTAAAACTGTGAAAAATGGCCTTTACGAATTGAGGTAATGGCGGAAGGATGAAAGATATTTTACCGCACAAACTTTGGAGGGGGGAGGGTGGGATAGGCGATTTGACCTGAAATACCCTGGTGTTTAATGCTCTTGTTTTCGTTCAAACAGACGGAGTTACTCATGGAGGAGTGAAAGGGAGACCACACGGGTAATAAAGACGAGTATGGCTGGGATCACGTTGCTCGGTGCGATATTGACGTTACTCGGAGGTACGCAAATCCTCCGGGCTGAGCCCTCGGCACAACCTACAGTCAAGAGTGGTAAGTCGTGTGCTACCATTTTATTAAAATTCACCGCGTGATGCTGGAGAGAGACAGAGAAAATTGTGTTTTTTTTCTCGAAAAATTGAGTTCTCTCGAGGAATGAATCAGTAATTGTGCCTATGTTTGTCCCTGTCCCTGTGCTCGTTCAGATATCGCGAGCTACGACATTTTAATCATTTTGACAGTCTCAAGAATCTAGCAGACGTGAGATACGATTAATATTAGTGAATTCCAATTCTGAAGGCTTTCGCCTCTGCTATGTAATTTAAACCTTCGTATCTTCACACTCATTTCGATACAAATATTGGACTAATGGTGCGTTCACCTTCGCTAGACGAGCGTAGGGTCATTTACTTTAGTGGTATTTTCTCCATACAATATACTTCTATTAAATCGATTGATGCCGGCCATTATTCTTCGTCAAATGCTCAGCTCAGATATAAAAAAAATAAAGAGAAATGAAAAAATTTACAAAAAAGAGGAGATCACGTTTCAAAACAAAAAAAAACAGGATCCCAAAATATTGCAAAGTACATGACGAATAAAAATATCATAACAGTCATCTTTTTTTGTGTCACTTTTATCAGTTTCAGTCATCCGTAGATTTTCTCTGTGTGGGAAACCACAGTTTTCAGCAAGAAAATTGGAGTTTCCTCCTGAAATTATCATTTGTTCCATGGAGATTATAAGTATTCATAAGTGTTCACAATAACATTCACTTCATAAAACCGGAGCCTCATATAATTCTCTGAAGAGCGAATGCATTCGCCCGAAAGATATATAAATGTTTTACGAGAATAATTACTACTGCGAAAATTATCCCGTTTTGATGGAATTTTTTTTTTACAAGTAGGAGAGATCGGGGCAAAGCGGAGTGCTAAGACAAAGAGGCGGGTGTCAGAGCTTCTATACTTATATTGCTTTTTGGCAATCACTACTCACGTTTTAAAATTATCAACTCGCGTCTCCGACGTATTACAGTTGTGGGCACAGTGGGGTAGTGTCCAAAAACTTTAAAATAATTATAAATGTTGTTTCTTTGTTTTTCCCCTTCGAATTTCCAAAAAACGAGAGAAACACTCTGAAATTAGTAGGGAAGGTCCCGACGAATCGATTTTTTAATTTGGAGCATGATTTTTTAATAGGGTACGCATAAGAGAATTCTTTTTCTTCAATTTCATGTTTATCAACAGAAGAGTACATTGCAACGATTTTCTGTACGATTTTCTAAACATTTTAAAATTTTGCTATTCATCAAATTAATTTTGTTTTTCAAATTTATTATACAGATTTCTAAAAAGGCACGTTTTTGTTCTAGCAATTGAAATTTCCGAATTTATCCATTAGATGTGTCTTGTTCATCTCAATTCTACGAAGTGAAATCCTAATACTTCTAACTGATTGTTTGTATTGTCTTGCATCGGTAGCAAAGTGACCTTTATATCAGTAAAATTTCTTTCAGTGTTTGAAAGAATTGAAAGAATTTCCAGAGTTCTTCCATTTTTTTTTTTATTTTTCCTTAGTAATATTCAAGTTTTTTTAGCTTTTTTTACTTTTTATTGATTCCTGATCAACCCCTCGTCAACCTCTTGAATTTCGTCATTTTGGCCTTTTTTTATGTCCCCCCCACTATGCCCCGGCCACCCCGCTTTGCCCCGGTCTCCTCTAAATTGATTGACCACGACAAAATGATCTCTTCAGTATCTCAGTATCAGATCTCTTCGGTAGAAAAAATTTTTCCTCTCAGTGTACCTACACAAAGCCTATACAATAATAATGTATCTGGTCAGTGGAATATCCGCGCAATGGTCAGGCAGTAAAAATCGAACCAGTGAATAAATTATGAAATATTGAGGACGTATTTTCCCATTGAAAACGAGCCGCATATTCCGGAGCTGATCGGGTTTTGGAATTTATTTCATTTTAACGTTATGATGTGCCTATTAACGAGGTATACAATCCTTGTAAAATTATAAACCCATTGGATTCCATGCCATTTGAGTTCATTGATATTTAAAAGCCATTGAAAATGCCGTTTTAGGTTTTTCTCCTCACACTGAGTGAATGGGAGAAAAGGGAATAATTGGGGCTGAACGAGGGACTCTGAGAGAATAAGAATGAATGAGACAGAAGGAGGCGGTACATTTATATAATACTCTTCTCTAAGCGCCGGGGCATTTGGATTGGTGGAGGGTTGACGATAGGGAGAGGAGTCTGTGTGTTGGTTGAAATGAATACGGTAAAATCCAGTGCGCATAATTGTAAAGACTCGACGTCGACGCGTCACCTCCAGAGTGTCTGAGACGCGATACATGCTTCACATTTTGCGGATGGAGTGGGTGGAAGAGGGTAAAATGCCAGGCTGAGATGGTAATATCACTGCAATTTGATGATGTTACATCTCGCGAGTGTCTCATGTCGTGATGATGGTGAGGCACTGGATCAGGATTTAATTAGCGTCATTCGTGCAGAGAGGAAAGTTGAGGAAATGATGTGCAGAAAATCACGTGAAATTTTACTGTTCGTTGTTTGGTAACATTTCTACTGAAATTTCAAGGAATTTAGTCGTCCAAAACTCATAATTCCATGGAAAAATCCGTGGGAACTGTATATTTCAGTTTAATTGTTCCGGGAAAATCCATGAAAAATCCCGAAAATTTAGAGAAATCTCTCCTTGAATTCCAGATTCCTCCGAAATTCCTGGAATGCCCAAAATTTTTTAAGGAATTCCCGGCAAATTCAAGAGAATTTGGCAGTGAACATTCTTTTTCTCTTGAACATTCTTGTCAATTGTGAAATATCCATCTTCCCGCCGCTAAAAATGGGGGACTTTACTTGAATTTGCAGAGAAACTCGAAATTTCTTTGACGTTTTCCTCTTAAATCGACTCCAAGTTCGTTTTCCGGAAAATTATTTTTTTTCAACAGTATATTTTTAGAGGGAATTCTCATTAAGAGACAGTTTTGCAGAAAATTCAACGGACAGTTAACAAATAATTTTCAAAATAGTTACAATGAAGTCGATTGAGGAGGAAAAAACGAGAAATTTCGAATTTGGCAAAAAAATTGATGAAATTCCTAATTTTTGAGCAGCAAAAGGATGCAAATTCTCTCACTTACTAGTAACCCTTTAATGAAAACATGAATATTCAATATCTATGTTGACCTGAATTGTTGATTTCTATGGATTTTCATAGAATAATTGAACTAAAATTTACAGCTTCCATTGAATTTTTCCATGAAATATTGCATTTTCAATGACGCAATTACTGGAATTTTCAGTGGACCTATAATCTGATGAAAATTTTCGAGAATTGTATCGGAAATATCAGCCCAATTTTTTCAATGAGTGTAACACATAATTTGCAGAGTAATTCTTCTCAATGGACATGTTCGTGCGGGTGATGAGAGTCTAAATACTCCATTTTCTGTATCAATTCATGGAATATTCGAATGTATTTAGTTGTTAGTCGTTGCGAAGGGCAGCACCTGCATTATTGGAATTGATATTCAACGGGAGGAATTGAGAATTAAATGTTCGAGCGATGGGATGAATCACTAATTGGTTCCGAGGGACCTGCAGTTGCTGGGAGTTTTTAATTTATCATTTTTTTCTTCATAGTGAAACGACGATTTTCGCTTTCCATCTCGATGACTCACTTTACCGATGACTGCATAATGCCCCTCCACGCATATTTACAATATCCAATATTGTTGTCCGGTGGGATGGGCAATTTCCATTTTTTGTAACGACGGATGCTCGTCAGTTCGATAAATTTTAATGACAATTTTCGATACTAACTGGGTTGAAATATACCAATGGCTAATTGACTCGGGCTTTTTATTCACTCCCCAGGGGACGCTGGACACTGTTCAGAATTTGAAATAATTTCGCTATTTTCATGAGAGAAATGAAGTATAGAATTCTGAGGTAGAAATAGTTCGCAAGCATTTTCATCAGGCTGAATTCATCAGATTGCCCTGGGGGGCTCTGGGATTTTGTCCTCGTGAAAAGCACAATTAAAGAGATTCAATGGAAGCGATCATACATGAAAAATTGTCAGAAAAATGAGATACAAAAAATCGTTGTCCACACCATTCCTCCCATCTCACTCACATGGAGAAAATTAGTTGTTGTCAACTAGTTGTTGAAAAAATGAATTAACAACCAGTTGGTGATTTTCAACAACTATTTGGTGAACTTCAACAAGAAAAATAATAGAAAAATAATAAAATACTAAAAATGGGGAAAAACTAAAATTATTTGGTGAATTTTAACAACTATTTGGTGAACTTCAACAACTAGTTGGTGAAATTCACCAATTCATTTTCTCCGTGCATCACTTCTCTTATGTATATTATCATTGTAATTTCTTCAAACTTTTCTCATTTGCACGATAGCTCCTCGTGCACTCTGTCATGTAGTTCGAGGTATGTTTGATGAATCAGTTCTTCATGGAGTGATGAAACTTTACGGCTGGAATAAATCAGGATGGTGCCACTGAGATAATTTTTGAATCGTTGTAATGGCCTGTGGCGACAATTGCTCAAGATGTTGCGAGGGTGATTATTAATTCTGATATTTAAGGAATTCTCGGGTGGGTTTTTATTTTTATCAAGTCATTTTCTTTGTGTGAGACTTCTGATTGTTTCATCCTTCATTTTAATAGTAAAAAGAATATTTTGGATTAATATTTATGAGTATCACAATAAATTCATACTGCTGAAATTTTTTGGTTGAACTTTCTCGGAATTCGGTCATCGAAAATTCACAATTTTTTGGAAAAGTGAAGGAAATTTGTCGACAATTCCATGAAAATTAATAAAAATCAGGATAATTGAGGTAAATATATTCTTCGGTGGACAATTAATTAAAAAAATCAACGAAAATTTGTACTGAATTTTAATGTTTTGATTGGATATTCAAGTCAGTATCGAAATTATCGTCTTCCTCAAAATTCTTGTTAAAATTTTCATCAAAAAGGGGCGTATTTGGGA